AGCCAAGTGCCATCAGGCAAGGAGCCAGCCTAAGTCCAAGTCCAGAAGGCTGAGGCCAGCAGGGAAGAGCAAGAAGCAGCCTAGGGCACAAGAGGTGGGCATGACCTGGGGATGATAAGAGGGAGTCAAGCAGCAGCGGGGACACTAGGGTCCAGGGGCAGGATGCACTAATTATGGCAAGAGGAGAGGGTGTAGAAGAGGCAAGAGGAGGGATCAGGTAGGGCTTGGCCAAGCAGACTTAAGGGCTCTGCCCTGAGATCCACGCCAGAGCAGCAGGACAGACTGAGCTTCTCACCCTATACCAGCCTGGGTGGAGGTTGGCCCTGCAAGACCGAGCTAGGCTACAGGCCCCCCCCACCCCACCCCATCCCCCCACCATGGGCAGCCTTGGAGACAGGAAGCCAGGTGTGTCACTCAAGGGTCTACATTGGACAAGACACTTGTGTATTTGTATTTCTTCTCCCCTTCAGCACATCCACTGAAATGTCCTTGCTCCTTTACAGTCTCAGGCTCCATCTCTGTCTGTCTGTCTCCCTCTGCTATGGCACTTCCTTCCTCTCCCTTCCTCCCTCCCCCTTTAACTACAGATCTTATTTCTCCCGATCCCACTCTGCAGAGCTACTGTGTGAGCGTGTTCATGTGTTGTTGAAGGAGCATCCTCAGGAGGATGGGGAAGTGGGGATGTCGGAGATCATTCTTCCTTCTCTTTCCCTCCCTGGCCAGCTGGAAATGTGCCGTGTGACCATCCGATCTAATTAACTGAACTTTCAGACTTGACAGAAGGAGGCTTTAAAAAAAAACAAACAAAAAAAAAAAAAAAAAAAAAAAAAAAAAAAAAAAAAAAAAACTCTAGCTTTCTTGGCTCTTAGCCTCTTGAGAGATAAGGGAAAGGATCTGATTGCAGGGAAGTGGAGTCCCAGCTCCCTGATTCCGGCTGCCAGGGGCAATCAACTGTGAGCTGAAAGCTCCATCTTGAAAACCCCGAGTGGAATGAAAAACCCTGAGCACATGAGAACGGAGACTCAGGAGTCCTAGAGCCCAGACTGGGTGGGAAACTCAGCAGCAGCAGAGATCAGAGGGGAAGAAAGGGTCACCCTTCTCACAACTTCCGCTGGACGCCTGCCCTGCATCCCCCAGGCAGGCTCCTCCTTCGTGCCACCCGCCGGCCTCCCTGGGGTCTCCTGGTGCAGCTCCACCCTGTGCCAGCTCCTTCTTGCAGAAGCACTGATGTCTCAGTGACATCTTCCCAGACCCTGCTCCCTCAGCCTCCTGGCTCTCAGGGCCCTATCATGGGCCACCCAGGGTCCCCTCCCCGCCACCTCCCCTTGCCCTGCCAATGGCCACGTGCAGGCCTCCAGCTAGGCCACGAGGGCATGCCAAAGGGACGCCAGTGGCACACAGAGCAAAGGCAAAGCCACTTGGGATGGCTTCAGGGGCCCCTGGAGGCTGCAGGACACATAATTCTCCTGACAAGGGCTCTAACCTGAGACTCAACTGCGGAGCATGAAAAGCCTGTGGGGACATTTTCTAGTGAGAAGAGGAAGCAGTGCTCTTTAAGGTGCCAGTCTGCCTTCCCTGACCACTGCTAATCTGATTTTCTCATATTCAAAACATAAAACCAGACAAAGTATCCGGAGAGTGGCAATGCCAACCTCGTCTCCCGCAGCCACTGTTCCCATCCTCATTGGCCCGGCGACATTTGCTGTCCTGCTGCAGCCCTTGAGGGGGGTGGGGGCAGGAGGACCTGGATCAGAAGTGTAGTGTACCAAGGGTGCACGGGGGCTGGACAACCGCCGCTCGGTGTCACTGGAACCTAATGGGAGGGCAGCCGGCAGATGGGAGGGCAAGTGGGCTGCCCCAGGTGGACTGTCAGGCCTGGGCAGAGTAAGGGGACAGTCCCAATTCCAGAAGGAGTTCTGCCTTCTCCTGGGGAGGTCTGACCAGGGTGGGAAGGTGGCCAGGGCAGAAAGGACAAGCACACACACACACACACACACACACACACACACATTGGACTCTGACCCTTATTCCCCACAGTGGCTATTATCTCTTTACACTTGGATTTATAAGCCTAGTGACCTACAAATAATTTTATTCTTTCACCTACTATTCACTTGACCATGAAGTCAATGAGCTCTCGGCCAAACAGTTAAGCCTGCCGCTGCTGGGGTTCACTCTTCAAAAACCACAGCACAGTTTTAAGCCAAATTGTGCTTTTCCTATTTGAAAAAAAAAAAAATTCCCCACATCAATGGGTGATAACCACATGCAAATTCCTAATGAAAAACGCATAACCCCAGTTTAACCAAAGTCCAAAATATTTTCCAGTTGTTTCAGAAAAAAAGAAATTTAATTTCTCGCCTTTGTCAAATACTATTACTGAGAAAAGTTATAGAAAGTAAGATATTGTTGTCAAATTTCAAAATGATAACCAACCTAGTACCAAATGAAATTATTTTATCCCATTTGCAGTATTAAAGAGTACAGAACTCTCTAATAGGAAATCAGAGTCTGTTTTGTTTTTTTTTTTTTAATTTCCAAAGCTTGATCGTAGGGGTTTGCAAGTCTTTGTAGTTTCTACTTTATTTCAAAGGGGGCTTATGAGCCCTTTTCCCACCTCGTATCAATACCTGACCTTTGAAGATTAAAACTGAGGTTAACTATCCTTCCCCATTATGCCAGCATTGCCAATTATACTCAGCACCAACTTCAGATGTTACATCTGAACTAAAAACGGCCCTGGCTAAAAATAGCCATCATCGGTGACAGGAATGGCCAGTGTTCTCTGCCTGCTTAATAATAGCCCATTAGGCTACTGTGTGAAACAGGCAGATGAATCCCTCACCAAAGAGGATCTCCCGCTTCACCCACCATGGGATGCCAAAAACTGCTGCCTATCAGTTGCTGAGATAGCTTTCATCGGTTAAAAATAGATCTGTTCACAAGCATGAGCTGCACACTACATTTGCAGAACCCAACGGCACCACACAGTTTTGGAACAAGGACCCCAGAGACACTGGACTCAGAGAAGATTGCACAAACCATAGCATTAGCCTCCTCTCTCCATCTTTGCCAACACTATGGGACAATTTCGGCGATGCTGCGGTAGATAATCTATTTGAAATCTACCCTGTGCAGCCAATAGCATCCTTCTGGATTTCCCTCAAAATGCTTCCATGCAATTTACACTAAAATAATTCTCCTTCTTGCTGAAAAACTACCTTAATTGCTTAAAACAATTATACTGTATTGTAATTATCACACTACCTTGTAATTATTTGCTTTGAGAATGTGTCTCTCCCCCTCCCCCGCCTTTCTCCACCTCCAGATGTGAGCTCTTTGGAAGAGTTCCCTGTGGCCTCAGTATCCACTATGTGCCTGGTACGTTGAAAAGAACTCAGTAGCTTGGGTTGAATGAGTAAATATGAACCGAAGCTTTGCCAAGCACTTCTTCCTTCTCCGATCCTGTTATGACCCCCATAACTTAAGTGATATTTAAGTGGTTATTCAACAAGGCTTATCACGAATCTTGAACATCTACTATGGGCTTCTGTTACAGTAGACCAAGGTAAAGCAATCATTTTAGTCATTTATGTATTTGACCCCATAAGTATCTACCTCCAAAAAAGAAATTAACAACCCTGATTATGAGTATCTCTAAGGCAAATCTCACATTAAAATTAAGGAAGTATGTGATTTGCCTACCTCAATATCTAGTACATGGGAATGCACTTGGAACATTAGCTCTGTCCCCATGCTCTGGTTAGTATCTCTAGCAATGTCAAAGCCTGAAGGCAACAATTTGTTAACGCCTTCCCAGCCACTGATACCTTCCCTATCATTTCAGGCCAGTGGCAGTAATAATCATCCAGACACATGGTCACAATCTTCCCCTTCCTTCCCTCCCCCCCTCCAAAACCAATGAATCATTGCTCCGGTTTAATTTTACTTGTCTCTCCCACCTCCCTATGGTTGTTTGATTAAAGCCAAACTAACAAGTGGAATATGCCCAGTGGAACCCATGCATGCAAAAAATAACTGGGCAACAATAAAGGGAAGAAAGAGGTCTTCACCCTTCTTCAAAGCTGATGAAACAATTTAACCAACAATATAAGACCCTCCTTTTTTTTTTAGCCTTGTGACATTATGTGGGGGGAAAACTGCAATAGGAAAGAACCGACGAATTCAAGAGAGGCAGCACAGAGCTTAAGAATAGTAAGAATGTGTTCCCATGAAGAGCTATGCCAGCAGCAAACGAGAACATCCCTGACACAGACAAGCAGGATATCCCCATGGAACAGAAAAATAAAAATAGGCAACTGTTTGCTCATTAAGTCATCCTCCTATCATGATTTAAGTCTCAGAGGGTCCCTGACCAAGCAATTCCCTAAACAATGGAGGCAGATATTCTGATCTTTGCTGAGTCATCACATGCGAACTGGGTCCCAAAGCCTCTCCTTCTTGGGAAAACAGAAACATGTAAGTTGAGGACGAGATCCTACCCCTTGGCAACCCAACCAGATGCATACTGCCAACACTTTGCAGTATGCAACCCCCAGCTGGCCTCGCCGGGTAGAAAGGATAACACGAGGGATTTTACAGGTTGCCATGATAATACTCCAAGCAACTCGGAGACACGCTGAAGTTAGATCCCAGGAGCTGGTTTTGTTTGGTAGGTGAAATCTAAAACATCTACCTGGGTAATGACATAAGATTACTAATCGTTGTCTGTTGGTTGTTTTTTCGTTTCTTGGGTTGTTTTTGGGGGGTTTTCATTTTTAATTTTAGAAGCAAACTCTTTAAATCTAATGCAATCAAAACCAACTGAGGCAATTCTGAGCCCCAGGCATGGACAGTTTAAGGAATTACCATCCTGCTCTGAGACTGTCCACAGGCCTAAGAGGTACACCCATACTGTCCGGAACAAGCTGTTGATGGGCATCCAAACCTCCGTGACCTCCAAAGGTCACCACCAAAGAAAGAAACTCAGGTGTACTTACGAAGGGCGTGCCACTCATCCTGACGGATGGTCTTCGTGATGTTGAAAGTGAGGTTCCTGGGGATGGTGGCTGAGGAGTAGTGGTATTTGATGTATGTGCATCGTTCAATTTCTCCTGGCAAAGAGAGACAGGAAATCAAACATTAATGAGGTGGCAACCATGTCTGGGGCAGTTTCTGGGATTCATTTTTCTGTCCTGAGGAAAGAGACTGGTTTCATATTAGGCCTGGTGACACCTATAGTTTAGACAAGGCAGTAACTTTGACCCCAAAAAGTAAGGTCCACTCTTAAGAGAGTAGAACTGAAGTCAAACACCATCGATTTAGACAGAAAAAAATACCTCTCTGGCATCATTCAGAGATGGGCAGAGTCAAAGTTTAGGCCAATCGAAGCTTGCTAAGAAAGTAGTGTCCGTGGTTTTTTTTAACCTTAAGAAAATCAACTTTCAAGTCATGGGAAGAGATTTGGCATCAAGAGCCAGTAACAAGGATGCCTGTTCAGCCAGTTAAGTGACCAACTTCAGCTCAGTCATGATCTCCTGGTTCGTGAGTTGGAGCCCCACGTCAGGCTCTGCACTGGGGGTATGGAGCCTGCTTGGGATTCTCTCTCCCTCTTTCTCTGCCCCTCCCCCATTTGTGCAAGCTCGCTCTCTCTCTCAAAATAAATAAACTTTAAAAAAAAGAGAGAGAGAGAGACAGTAACACTTTGTACCCATAGACTGATACAGAACAGGCTTTGCTTTAATGATGTCATCTGTGCCTGTAGCACGTACGATCTTACGGAATGGTGAGCCACAGAGGCCTCTTCCCTCTTCTCTCTCCCATGCCCTAACCTCATCTCTGAGTACAAAGCACTCAAATCAACGTCCATCTCCTTGAACCAGCTTCTTCTTCTCAAACGTTTTGGAAAAAAATCGGGCTCCTTCACACACTCAACACCTGGTCCAGTAGAACCTTTACTGCTAAGTTAGCAATGCATGCTTTGCTAGTCAATTATCAAAGTAAGTCTGTATCATGGAGCAGAGTGTTTCAAAGTGTGGTCCAGGGACATCGGCATCCTCTGGGAACTTGCTAGAAATCCAATTTCCCAGACCCAACCCTAGACCTGCTGAACCAGAAACCCAAAGGTAGAGCTGCAATCTGAATTTTAAGAAGCCCTCCAGGTGATTCTGTTGTGCACCTAAGTTTGAGAACCACAGCCTCTGAGAATCTAACAGAATTACCAACGTATTCACTCATAAATCCACCACGTTTGCAAATTCCCAAAGAAAGGAACAATTGGAGGAGTTCCTTCCTTGCTACCTTTGGTCTCCTGCAGCCATGTTGGCTGATGCTTGCATATCTGAGGGATATTGAAACCCAGTGTCAGGGATCGCAAAGAATCCAGAAAGAAGGGATTTTTAAAGGTTAGGGGTTTTAAAATTTGGTTTTGCACCCGAATAGATTTTGATGGTAATCCATTTTGCACCCCACTGATTTTCAATTTATAAGTGGTGGCACGTGATTGAATCGCTTGACCCCTGGCTCACTGTCAGCAGGGAACCTGGCAGTCGGTGGAGCGCAATCATTTAGACAGTGCCTCTCGTGAAACCGATGCCTTATCGTAAATCATATCTGGCCAACTGCCCAACTGCCAGTTATTGGCAGACACGCCCCCAATGGGACAGACACTGTTCAAAGAGCCAAAGTTTGGGGGAAAGTGTTGTACATGCTTTTCCTTTAATTTTTCACTTCCTCCACCTTTGTCCCCTTAGCTTATAAGTGTCCTGAAGTCTCTCACATATGCCCCCAGCATTCACCCTGACCACATCCCCAGTCTTCCTTCTTCCCTAACTTCCTATCTTGCTATGCCTCTTGGAAAAGTGGTCTATCAGACCACCTCAAGTCACCCTCATACCTAAACCCACATGCTCTAATCTCCCTAACAATCTCCGCGAATAGCATCACCTCGCATCCATTCTACACATAATAAATCCCCCTACCACCCCCAATGCCCCCCACCTCTAGTGGGGCCCCTTCCATCTGACATTCATTGGTCACCAAATTCTGTCAGTTCTACCTCAGAAATGTCTGTGGAGGGGCATCTGGGTGGCTCAGTTGGCTGAGCAGCTGACTCTGGCTGAGGTCATGATCTCACAATGCATAGGTTCAAATCACACATTAGGCTCCGTCCTGACAGTGTGGAGCCCGTTTGGGATTCTCTCTCCATCCTCTCTCTGCCCTTCCACCACTCGTGTTTTCTCTCTCTCAAAATAAATAAGCTTTAAAAAAGGTGGGGGGGCACCTGGGTGGCTCAGTCAGTTAAGCATTCTCTTCAGCTCAGGTCATGGTCTCAAGGTTCTTGAGTTCAAGCCCCATGTCAGGCTCTGTGCTGACAGCTTGGAGCCTGGAGCCTGCTTCAGATTCTGTGTCTCCCTCTCTTTCTGCCTCTCCCTCCCTCCCTCCCTCTCTCACCGCCCCCCCCCCAAAATAAACACTGAAAAAAATTTAAAAATAGAAAATAAAAACAAAGAAATGTCCCTGGAAGCCAGCCCATCCTCTGTGCCCTCACCCTCTACCGTAGTTATGTGAATACAACAACCCAGCTAAACAAACGGCCACATTTACTGAAGATTTACTTGCAGGAAAGGCTTGCCAATGGTTTCATACATAAACCAACAGTTTCCAACTCTACTCATGTTGTCGCACACACAGAAGAGATGTGCACAAGGCTCCCCGGGATAGAGATGCAGCTGCCTGGGCCCTGTCGGCCTCCCTGGGAGGGAGCCAACCTTCCCAACCCACTTGTAATCCTGCCTCTTCTGTACTCATCCCCATGGCAGAAAACTCTGTTACGGATGTGGCCTTACTTAATCCTCAATACCACCCAGTTACGTAGTGTTCCTACTATCATCGGCAGGATATGATCCTATTTCACAAATGAGAAAATAGAGGCTCAAGAAGATAAGGTGACTTGCCCCAGGAAATAGCGGCACCAGGATTAGAACCCAGAATCTCCTGACCAGGGCTTCCCTCCACACCGCTGCCCGACTGTCTTCCAGAGAGGAAACTGTGGTCTCTCCCACACACACAGGATAAACCTCACGCTCCTCGGGCAGGAAGGCCCCACCAGGTGGCCTGCCCTGCCCCGAAGAGCCCAGATCCGTCAGGACTCTGCCCCTGATACACACCCAATCCTCACAGGAAGTGGCCAAAGTGGCAGCTCCTCAGCAAAGCCTGCCTCGCACGGAAGCCTGTGCCCGGGAACAGAGGAGCAGCAGTGGTTCAGCCTGGACCCTCCTCGCTCCTCCCTGCGCTCCTGCCCTCCTGCGGCAGGCACTGAACGGGCTGGGATTTATCTGTTCACACGCCTCTCTCCCCCACTAGATTACGAGTTCCTCAAGGGCAGGGGCCGGTCTCGTCCACTCGTCTCTACCTCCCCGGCCCCGGCACAGGGTGCGCACCAGTACCATGCGCTCTGAAGGAAGGAAGGAATAATACCAGGCACCCTCTGGAAAACCGCAGTGGGCAAGGAATCCAACTGCTTCTGCTCTGTGCAAGGGACAAAAATAATTAAGGCAAATCAGAATATAATGAACGAAAGGAGGGCACTGTTGCAGAACTCTGTCTGCGTCTACAGCAAACACCTCTTCGCTTTCCAGACAACGTAAGGAGAGGTTTATTTGATCACAGTGAGGTAGGAAAAAAACCACGTAGGTACAGAACAACCTCTCGCTGCACTTTGCAAATGTAATCCAAGGGGCAACTAGGTCAGTTTGTTTCCGGTTTTTGTTTTAATTTTTTTCAGTGTTTATTTTTGAGAGACAGAGTGTGAGCAGGGGAAGGGCAGAGAGAGAGGGAGACAGAACCCAAAGCAGGCTCCAGGCTCTGAGCTGTCAGCACAGAGACCGATGTGGGGCTCGAACCCACACACTGTGGGATCATGACCTGAGCCGAAGCCAGACGCTTAACCGACTGAGCCACCCAGGCACCCTTGTTTTTGTTTTGTTTTTAAGAAGAAAGACAAGAGGAAAATATAAAGGGTAGAGAACTGTAACAAGAATACCACCAGTAACTACTTGAACAAACCAAGATCCCACAGGAAATGGCCAGATTGGTGCCCATCACTAAGGTCTGAGAAAAGTATCTGATTTCTTGGCTCAGATCAGGTTCTCTCAGGCTCAAAACAAACTCCACAAGTGGCCACAGGCTCCCGGCAGACCTCGGCCACCTCCCGTGGTGTCCCTCACCCAGCCCACCCAGCCACCCGACACTTGGCAAGAGCAGGCAGGTGGAAAGAGCTGACGGACAGGCACCGCAGGTGACCAGCCAGAGAGCCTGGCTAAAGCTGCCGGAGAGGCCCCGCTGGAGGCCTCCCTGTTTGCTTTGCCTCAGGGATGCAAGCATCCTGTCTTTGACAGCAATTAAATTTGAAAGACTCAAATATTGCCTAAGAAGAAAGGCAAAATATTTATCCATGTGTCTGCAGGTCCTGTCAGTGTGCTGGGCTTTTGTAAATACAGGCACCATCTGGGCACCAAATTCGTGTGCCCAGAATGCGGGCTTCCCAATACAAATAGGTTTTCCTGCAACAATCCAGGGGGGCCACCTGGGAGGCAGTGGAGAAGCGCCTGGGCTTCCCCGGAAAGAAGGTCAAACCTGTCTTCCTGACCCCTACGTTCCAGCCCAGAGACCTCAGCCTGGATAGGACAGGGGCACCCTCAGGAGTGAGGACACCATAAGCCTTCATCTGCGCCGTGCCTTCTGAGCTGGTGACCCTCCCAGCTGCCCCGTCGTGCTCCCAGAGAGACAGGATACCCAGATGCGTAGTTAAGAAGAGTTTCAAAACTGGGAAATTTACAAAGCGAGCACAGGGTGTAAAGAGGCCAGCAACGGGTGACACAGGGACCTACGGCTGGCGACAGAAGGGAGTGAGAGAACCCCAAGCCTGGAGAGGCAGAGGGAGTCGGTACCAGACCCTAGAAAGAGTGGCCACTTGAAGAGAGGTGATATGACCTTGGGCAGAGGGTCACAGCCAAGCCACGGTGAGGTGGCTGAGAATAAACACACACCCCCTCCGTCTCCCTCCCCCTCCCCCAGGAGCTGAATCCACCAGAAGCTGGAAGGGGTGGGGGTC